CCCCCCCCCCCTCTTCGTAGCCTTGGGACATTAACTTAAGTCTAACAACCTATTTATAAGACTCAACAAGGAATTCATTCAGTGATTAGTATGGTGGGGCCACTTAGAGCTAAATAGGTTTTTGTTAAAAATCCAAATTCTATGTTAAACAAAACTTTGGCTACTAAATATGGATTGAATATCTGGTCTACTGATTATAGACCAAATACATCTCCATCTTGGAAAATTATCTGCAGTGGTGCTAAAGCTTTAAAAAATTGTATTAGATGGAAAATTCATTCAGGCTCTGAAATTAATCCCTTAACTGATATTTGGTTATTGGATAAAAGATTAATTGATTGGCCAACTTACATATCAGTTCCTGGAACTGAAACAGAGTTTCCTTTGCTCCGTAATTTTATATCCAATGGCGAATGAAAGAAAGATGAGCTAGAAGAATATTTTGGTAAATCTTTAGTTGAAATCATTTTAGATACCAAAATTTATTCTGATATTTGGAAGGATGAAATGGAATTAATCCAACAATTTTCTGGAATTTCTTTATCTGCTCTAGTTTTCTGAAATTTAACAGAGCAGAATTATGCTATTTTTTACTGGAATTGGTTGAAGAAGCTTAAGCTTAATCCTAGAGTAGATTGTTTATGGTGGAGACTTTTAAAAGAAGCTATCCCTACTACATATTTTCTAATGAAAAGGAGATTATTAAATGACAACCAATGTCCAAGAGGTTGTGGTACGGTTGAAAATTCAGATCATGTTTCTACTAGATGTTGTAAAATTATGGAAGCCTTGGCTGTTCTCAAACAATGGGGTATCACTATCCAAGGATTCAATTCTTTACTGGATTGTGTTCGTATTTTGAAAATGAACAATATTAATAATCCTTTTCTCATCTCTACTGCTCACTGATTTATTTTATATGGAAAAGCATAAATCAGCTTATTCATGAGAGTAGAGAATTCGGGTTGAATTATATTATTTTTAATTCCATTTGTGTTGCATCTATTTCTTCCAAAACTGCAATCTATTGAGATTTCTGGAATGCTAACCAGCTACCTAAGCTAAATTTTTTTTGGCATCCCCCTCCAACCGAATGGATCAAAATTAATATTGATGCAGCCTTGAATCAATCTTATGAAGCTGGCCTCGGTGGAGTAATTAGAGATGATAAAGGTAGAATGCTTCTAGCTTTCGGTCATAAATGCTTTCATTGGGACATTGGCTTATTAGAGCTATTAGCTTTTCGACAAATTAAGCTTATGATCAAAGATTGGATGCTTGATTACGAAGGCATTGTCATTGAAGGGGATAATTGGAACATTATCAACCATCTCCAAAAATCTGTTAATGGCTTGGGTATTCCGAACTCTGAGGTAAATCTGGAAGACTTATCATTTCTTCAAAATTTTGAAAGTCTTTTGTTCCTTTTTGCTTATAGAGATTGTAATAAATTAGCACATTTTGTGCTAATTATGCCTTAAAAGGTGATTTTTTGTGGGAGAACATTAATAATGCTCCTCCTTATTTCTTTTCTCTTGTTAAGGAGGAATGTGATAGGATTACTATCACAGCTTAAGTTGTAATTTTCTTTCTTTTTTAATGCCAATGCATTTTCTCAAAAAAAAAAAAAAAAAATCGGGGTTTCTACACTTGATTTCTCGATGATCTTGCACCTACTTCCTCCAAGGTCAGTTTCTCAAAGAGGAGAACTACAAGAAGTGGATGTATGTCAAGTTGACGAAATCACTATAAATTTTTAGTATATTTGTTCCTTTACTTTTAACATTTCATTTTTTGTGATTTATTTTATTGCAAATTTACTTCCTGCAAGTTCGTTTGTATTGGTGATTGTTATGATACAATACTTATGGTTGATTGTTTTTGTTTTTTAGTTGAAAAATAAAGAATTAAAAATAAAAAAAATTGTTAATTGTTTTTCAATAAAAATCAAAATACAAAAATAAGTTTATTTTTTTAATTTGCTTCTGAGTCAAGAAAATTTGAGTTTGATTTTAAATTTGTAAAACGAATTTTAACTTTAAAAAAATAATAAAACATTAATTTACCCTCCTCTTAATGTGTTGTTTAATATGTCAAGGGATTTCACAATCATGTTTTAAACTTTCAAGCTTTTAAGCTCTATTTTCATCACTTTAAAAAAAATTTATACTTAACTATTGCTATAGAAAGTAGAAAAAAAATTCTCCCTAACTAAACCTTAAATTTAATTTCAGATTTTTTTTACTACTTTATAAAGTTAACATAGATAAAATAACTTTTTAAAGTTGTTATAGAAAACAAATTCCAATTATAAAAATTTTTAAAAGCAAAAAAATAGTGATTATTAAAATTATTATCACGATCCAATAAGAAAAATAATTAGAAAAATAACCTAAATGAAACTTTAGTCTCCACGAGTAAATGAAGTGAGCAGCAGTTCGAGGAAAGTATATTTCCATCAGTAGTTCTTTCTTCCAGCCATTCACAATCCAAACCCTACGGATTTATGCTTTTTTTTACATGATAAAACTCAGTTGCCTGTAATCTAATTCATAATTGACAAAAATCAGAATAAAAACTACTCGAGACATGCAAAAAAAATTTCCACTCGAGCTTTATCAAATAATCATGCAAACACCAGTTTAACAGTAATATAGTACTCAAGAGTGCAAACAGTTAATAGTTTCAACCTAACAAATACCCTACAAAGCTGTCAAGGGCAAGAGATTATTCTGTGTGAATGTGAAACGCAACTCTACATCCGGATACTATTCAAAATAAGCCACGTCAATCATACCGAGCCGCGGTACCGAACAGTGCCACGGTACCGAGCCGCAGGCTTAGGCATCCGGACAGAGTTCCGCTTCCGCACAGAATAATTTTTCCAGGAGCAAACTCCTACAAAAAGGCACTTGAAACAAAAAAAAAAATTGAAGTTTAGTAATCAAAATACTAAATTAGAAATAAATCATTAGACAAATCAAATGAAACAAGATAAATGGCTTCTCAAATTAAACATCTACAAATATATGCTTCACAAATCAACCAAAGTTTTTTAGTTCATGCCAAATGAGCTGTCTGTCTCAACACCGATAAAAACTAGAAGCTAGCTGGTGACTTCCGTCTAAGGAATTCAACAGTTAATCGCTCATGCTTCAGTTTGCTCCCTCAGGCGACGAATAGTGCTCCTTACAGTCACAGCGCTAGCGGTGCTGAAAAAATTAACAAATATCAGGATGAAAAAATTGAGTCGTAACTGATACATCTGAAGAATAATAAAAAGCTGAAGCACTAACTTCAGAGTGTATGCACCCCCTGCCTTGACTTTGCCACAATCCTTGCATCCCCAGATCCCAACAGCTTTTCTTTTCACTGCATACTGCACAAATCAGCGAGGAAATAAAATCATCATTAAACACTTGAAGAGACGGCTTCATTTACAAGGGAAATGAAAGAGCAGGACGAACAATTGAGAGAAGGGATCTCCTTTACAATACACGCAAATGAAAGAGCAATTAAATGAACAAATACTGAGATAACAACAAAAGTTCACAAGCCTATACAGAAAGGCTTAAATTTTTCACCAAGCGAGCTCTAATACAAAATCGCATTTAATTTTCTAACATTTTCTCCCAAAAAAATTCATAGCTAATATCAAGTCAATATGAAAATAATTAAAACTGAAATCAATTCAATTTTAAATTCCTTTAGTATAGAGCATTCTAATTTAAGTTTATATAGTTCATGTCGCATATTATTTTTTGATCTAAAATAAATAGATCGATCATCGTCCATCTACTTATACAAATAATATACTAAGAGGGCAGAAACTTCTATTATAAATTATATTATTTAGCAAATAAACACATAATTTATTAATAATAAATCATACTTTTATAAAATATATCATGCAACATAAAATATTATCTAATTACTAAATAATTTATTATAATAAGTATCCATCTAGTCATAGTAATTTATAAATATAATAAAAACATTTATAACAATATATGATGTGGTTAATTTATTATATTTAGCACGTATATAACCCATAATGCATAAATAAAAATAACATGTTAAAAATAGTAAAACAACAATACTACGATTTATTAAAAAATTTCACTATCTTAAGTCAATAAATACTAATTATTATAACTGTAATTATATTACAAATTAAAAAAAGCATAACTATTTGGGGAAATCACTTCTAATATTTTTTTCCTTTTTAAAAGAACAGCCTGTACAGCAAAATCACCATAAGAACTATATCTTTCTAACAAATATAGTATATACCAATATAAGAAGTTATTCAACCTTAATTATTTGGTTTGATATTGCATATGTGATTTTATTTGCGCTTTTCCTCTTCCAAATTCTTATATCCACTTCTTTCAAGTCCAATCACCACTATTGGTACTTTTAACTGAACCTTAGTTGGTAATATTAGTGATAGATTTTGATTTAAAAGATAGCAATCCAAGTTTGGATTTGGGTAGCGATGGAAATTGGTGTTCATACACAACCTTGAATTAAAAGGGCTCATAAGATAAATAAGGTCAAACGGTAGGAAATAATAACTACTTTTACCATAAACTTCATCTCATTGTTCCTTACGCATATGATGATGGTAAAAACAGCACTATCTACAAAAACTTTATTCAACGATCTAAATGTATTATGGAGCACAAGTTTTACTCAATATATGATAATTACAGACTGTGAAAGTCAGTCATTACCCAAGGGCAGGGATATAAATTCAAAAACTCGTACCTTCCCACAGAATTCACAGAAATATTTAGCATGCTGAGAAACTTCCATTTTCTTGATTTGCTTTCGCAAACTAGCACCATATCTTGTGCCTGCATAGAAAACAGTTATTAAGAGTGGGATAAAATGAAGTGAAATGCTTTTCTAAGCCACAAAGTAAACACATTTTCCAGAAATTTTCACATGTGAATGCTATATATAAAGGAGATGATATTCGAGGAAATCATGGACCAACAACACCTCTTTCTTATAAAATATATCATAAAAATAGTGTTAAAAATATGTTGACTTTATGGCTGTAAAGAGCATCCCCCTAAAATGGGTAGTCCATAGCTTCATATTACGCAGCAACTAAAAATAAAACAATAAATAAATAAATATTACGCAGCAACTAAAATATGAGTGCAATAATTAGTTGGGATTTAAGGGTCACATACCATATTTGCCAACAATTCCAGCCTTCTTGGTCCTCTTAGTCTAATAATATCACACAAAACATAACACAATAGAGTTATAACTAAAAACATTTTAGCTGAGCATTCCCATAATAATATCTGTAGCAAAAGTGCATTTAAGTCACAACACAACATCTTGCGGCAAAATGTAAACTTTTAAATCCATTAGCATATGGTCATTCAAATAAAAAATGCATTGGCTTCAAGAACACGAAAATAAAAACATCAAATAAAAAAGAATGCTTCACCAAAAACTAATATAAACTGGTGTAACAGATGACGAACATCACCATGAGTTTAACGGATGTAAATGACTGCAAAAGTAAAGTACAATGGCATCCCACAAATGCAATAAACGGGGTGTAGAAGTCGGGAAGAATAGCTTGTTTGTACAATGAAAACAAAGATAATCACAACATTCATAAAATACATATTCTGGTTTTATCAATGGAGAAGATTCAGTAGCTATTTGGAAGGCATTGAATAGTCCCGATGTCCCAGGATAATAGTCACTGCTTAGTCCTCTGATATAATAAATTCAGGATTTTGTAGCATTTAATAAATCCAGCCCGGGGCACAACTTAAGGATTTATGGCTGTGCATTAAAGTCTAAGTCATCATTACATCATTAGACTTATAGCAACTATTTGAGGCCCGCTTTATAAATCCTCATTTTCTATTCATTCTTGTTAAGAATTGCACGAAGGTTTTTCTTTTTTTATCTTGTTTGCAAATATTTGTGAACAACTTTTATCCATGCATCCATAAGTCTGCCATATTTTTTTCACAATCTTTCAATACAAACTTTATCACCATTTCTAAAGTTATATTTTCTATTCTTCAATGCAATGCTCCAACCACTTCAATCTTTTTCCAACTATCTTATATTCAAATAAGAATGTACTTTTCCTTAGCTTGTTGCATGATCAAACTTTTTGCCACCATTGGCTAAAAGAAAAGTGTGAGGGGGTGGGAGAAAGATCATTATATAAACCTTATCCCAACTATTTGGAATTGACTATATAAATTTTCATTTTGCATTCATTCTTATTGAATTTTGCTTGAAATGTTAAACATATTCTTCACAAATCATTTGAAACAACTTATATCCAAGTTATCAAGATCTACTACTCCTTCCTGATCCTTTGACACAAATATTTTTCATCTAATGAATGCTTTTTTTATCCTTTGTTGCATATGTCCAAACCACACGTCTATTTTCAATTAACTTATAATCAATAAATATCACTTCAAGTGTTCCTCTAATATATTGATTGCTAGAAAAGCATCAATCCCTCTTACAAATCAAAAGTTTGTTTACCCAAGTAGATTAGGTTTAGTTTAACACAATTTTCTTTGTTGTTTAAATCAAGATTTATTTAGATATAGTATCGATACATACTATGGGCTCAAGCCCCCAATAGATAATTACACATCTTACTTATGGAGAAGCACTATGGGTTAACGATTGTTGCGTAGGCTCGAATTTAGGCTCAAGTTTAATGCTTGTATTTTAATTAAATTGATCAGAGATGGTTGGCGGAATTGAGATAAAATTGATTAAGATCGCATGATTTCGTTATTCTAAAAATATCAGCAATTACAATCTAACAATGCTTAAAGGTGATACAACATAATGTCTACAGAATCTCACAAACAACCATGGGTTGATTCTCCTTAGGCAGCCTGACTGCCTGGGCAACCTGACTGCCTGAGCACACCGAGGTGAATGTATGAGTTTTTTTTTTTTTATTGAGATCAATAAATATATAAGATACTATGAGTTGAGTTAGGTTTAGGCCTTTAGGGTTTACATCCATTGCAAGACCTGAATTTTGATTGATGATCTAGGGCCTATTACTTGATTTTTCAAGTTGCCCAAGGGTCAAGACTTTCAACCTAAACATTCAGTATGCCCAAATATATGGTATATGAATTAGATATTAGAGTTAACCCATAAGATGGGTCTTACGATCTTGTCTTATAGGCAAGGTGGCTCAACATTTAGGCTTAATTGGTTTATGGCTACATGTCAGCCTAAAGAATTGGGATCAAATGGGGCTTATATATATTGAAAGCCTCAATATTTGACTTGATTTGATTAAGCATTCTAAACTTTTATATTTAAAACTAATAACTTTGTTTATTAAAGGAGCCTAACGAACTAGTATCTTATAATTATGGGTTTTAGAGCAATCCAATGCAAGTGATATTGCCCAAGATTTGGGAAGGCATTCAAATGCAAGTCTTAAAACCTTGCATCTTAACATCTTGCATCATGGGAAAAGTAGGCTGCCGGTAGTGGCTCCCCCTTCAATCAACAAGGAAATCACAAACTCGTACTAAGGCCCTTAACCTATAAACCTATTTAACCAAGTTAACATCATCTGCAGCTCTGAATAGAGTCATTCAATTGATATATCATTAAATATGTACATGCTTTTTTGTTGTTGATACATTTGCTTAAACATAAACACACATCTTTTGCATAATTTATAAACATTAGGTATATTCATAGTGCATGTCTGCCCCTAACACTTTGATATGTTTGGAGTTATAACAAACTTTTTAGAGAAAATTAAAATTATCAACGTATTTTGCTGTATCTTATAGTATTTAGCCTTTGGTCACTCTACCATACTTGAAATATATGTAAGTGATATGACATTCATAAGTTATTTATTTATCCAGTTCTTTTCTCTTTCTTTTACAGGTGTGAGAGGAAAGCTACTTTTCAAAACAAAATGACATATTCATGTTAAGCCACATTTCAACATGAGTTTGACATGTTGCTCAGCCAAAACATATATATAAATTTATGAGTAGCTTGTAATTAAAATTTTCTTTTGCAAGGACTAGCTTGTCTTTATAGGATATCAAGAGGTCACTAGTTATTTGACGAACCAATGTATTTGTATAATTGACATTTTCTTCTTTTATACTTTTATTTTTCTACTTTATTTTCCTTATATTACATGCAAATTACAGAATAGCTAATGCAACCCTCCAAACCATCTTCCTTTCTCACTGGTGGTTTTAATACTGATGATAACACCCCGCACACCTCTAATTAGAGACCGTGAGTATGTTGACAATGCTGAAACCAGGTAGCAAAAATACCTACCACTGCTTAATAGCAAAGAAGTCAGCACTGTTTTGGTCAACTATAGTCCCAAATGGCGAGCATTCATCTTCCTGAACCCAAATAAAAGATCAAGAGAGAGAGTCTAGTCAGATCAATCATCAAAGATTGACCGAACGAAGAGAGAAGTCTTCATCCTGATCGGATAACAAATCGATGGATGTGGGATATTCAAATTCGGACTGGTTCAAAGATCGACCCAAGTAGAGCATTTTAATTCAGGCAGGATCAAACATCGACAGACAGAATCAATAATAGGACTGATGCAGGGATGAAGACCAAGCGGTTTAAATTTAAATTCAGAAAAATTAAATTTCAAAAATTTTACCCTACTTCCTTATTATAAAAACAGCTGATGCTCGAAATCCAAACATTGATTGCACAAGAAATCATTAGATCTCACTCAATGTCACTTGGCTAAGTTCACATTGAAAGTAACAAAAAAATGTAAAAATTCCGTCGACCACTGAAATTAGGAAGAAAGAGAAACTGATCAGCATAGAAGAAGGCACAATAACAGCAAAAATAGCAGATAATCGTAAACTCGGAAACACCAAAGCGACGGACATCCTAGATACAAGCCTTTCAATTTCTCCAACCTCGTGTGAGAAGAAGAGATTTGATTCAAAGACATACCATCTTGCTTGGGGATTGCGGTGGGGATACAAGCTTGAAAACGCCGCTTCTAGGGTACAATTTTACAAAGAAAAACAGCCGACTTTCCGGTTTAAGAAGTCAAAGAGAATTCCAAACCCTAGCCCCATCAGACATTATCGCAGCCGTCCAAGTAAAAAATAAGTGAATTCAAGCGAGAAAAATAAATAAAGGCATGAAAATTTCGACCGGTGTTCAAGTAGATAAATCAAAATAAGCTAGAAGATTTAATGCTTGGCTTGGTTGTCCAGTATCTTTTGTGAAAGATAGTTTTAAAAATATTTGTTGAGAAAATAAGTTTCTATCAAAAAAAGCAAATATCAAAAAGTTTTTCAAAATAGAAAAAAAATGATGTTCCGTAAAAAATATTTCTACATAAGCATCGCATACAAACGGCAACAAAAAAAATTGTGCCATTTCGAAACATAAAAGATGAAATTAATCAGTGTCAAATGAGGCCTAAGTCGGATCTCTTGCTTGACTCAAGAGATAGTGGAGGGCTACAGTCTATGAATTAGCATTGTCAATGTTAATTCTAACCATATATAATCTAGTGATCGGCTATGGCTAGGGAGAAATTATTTGATGTGGAGTCCAGACGTAGAATAAATACTAACACATGAAGATGACATGTGGATATTCAATTGGATTTTTTTTTATGTCTTATCAGCACGTCCGACCCAACCAGACCTGACGTAGAGATGAAAATTTTAAATTCGCAGGAGTTCAAAAGATTCGGAGCTATGTCATTTTACTTTTCAACTTGGCATTTGTCACTGCTCACACTCTTTTGTTTGGTATTCTAGACTCTATTCTTGCAATCCTTCAACATTGCAGAAGTTTGTCTCCTTTGCAAATTGGGCTGTCAATATTCGACACGACCCGAAACACGACCCGGAAACGACACGGAAAAATTCGTGTTCGGGTCGACCCGGGTAGCAAACGGGTCATGTTCGGGTTAGAGAAACTGACCCGATTTCAACCCATGAAATTTAACACGGCCGTTCGAATTCGCCGCTTCACGCAATCACGCCTTCACTCATTTGGCCGAACCGCGGGATTAGGTTAATACTAATAGTATACCATTCGTCCATTCCGTCATTTCGATTCGACGAGTTCGCTCAATCGCTCTGCGTGCTGGAGCTGGAGAGTGGTCCTTGCCCAGTTGCCCTAGTTTTCGATTTTCTGCCTTTCCTCTTCCTTCTTCATGAGCAGTTGTTGTTTGATCGCAGCCTTACAGGTGATGAATTCTGATTTTAAGTCTCCTCAGTCCTCTCCTTCTCCAGTTCTCCTCTTGAGTCTTGAAGTCACGTGCTCTCCCCATGTCGTCATATATCGAGAATCGAAATTTCCTATTGATCTTTTGGATACACTATTTTGATAGGATTATTGCTTGGTAAATGGCAAGATTTATTGATTTTTTTTCTCTATTATGTGTTTCCCATTTCTTAAGCATAAACCCTAGGAAATGTCGTGAAGATTTCGTGATTAGCAAACCCTAGAGTTGATTTATCACTTATTTCCTTTATTCTTTACTGATTTTCAAGATTTTATTTATGTTTGATTACATTATTAATATTTGAGATTAACTGAAATCCCTTTCACCCTTTGTCGCTCTGTTCATGTTCGCGAGTCATGACAGTTCGTCATCTGCTGGACTGTTCGTCGTCATCATCCTTATTTTGTTTTTGTTGTGGTTGTAGCTGTGGAGTGTGGACTGTGGAATAAGTTTAAATTGATCTTAGTTTTAGGTGTAGCCATGTGCAGGTGTGCTGTGCGCCTGTGCCTCTATGGTCCTAGGAGTTTGGACTTTGTAGTATATCTTAAACATTTAAATTACATTTAATTTTAATGTTGTTATTGTTAATTTCAATTTGTTAATGTTATTGTTGGAGGCCTGGAGGGTGGAGCCATGTATTACAATATTATTTGGGGGTTTGAGATTGAATAGTTATTTATAATTTATATATTGTTGTTGTTGAATAGATGGAGGATTCTAACACAGTGGTAGAAAGTACTCCATTCATTGAGAATGTGGATCTAGGAAATGCTCCTATTTCAGCTGACTTTAAAAAAGAAGATGATGATTTGTGTAATATTATTAAAAAAGAAGGAGATGAACCGTCATCTACTAAGAAAAGACGAAGAATGTGTTCAATAGTTTGGGGTTATTATGAGATGTTGCCTCTTTCTAGTGATGGCAAGCAGAGATGTAAATGTAGAAGATGTGGGGCAATATATCAGTGTGATAGCAAGTATGGTACTGGCAATTTAAGACGTCATATACAAAATTGTAAAAAAAGAGACACTTGTGATATTGGGCAACATATTCTACAGTCAAATGCTACTTCGACTATCTCTATGACTAAATCTACGTTTGACATTCATGAGTTATTCACTGCTTGCATAATCATGCACGATCTTCCTTTTCAGTGTGTTGAATGGCCCGGTCTTCGTGCTTTGTTGCAATATCTTCGTCGTGGTCTCTAAATAATATCTAGAAACACTGCTCGAAGTGATTGCAAGAAAATGTTTACTAAAGATAAATGCCTTCTTCAAAAGGAGATTCTGAAAAGTAATAGTAGAGTTTCATTGACTTCTGACTTATGGACTTCAATTAATACATATGGGTTCATTTGTTTGACTGCACATTTCATTGATAACAACTGGTTGTTGCAAAAAATAATAATCAATTTTGGTTTTATGACACCACCACATGATGGAAAATTCAGAATAGAATATTCAACATAACTCTGGACAATGCTTCAGGTAACAATGTTTCCGTTGAATTCTTAAGAAACCAATAAAATTTGCGTGGTGCATTGTTATGTAAAGGTGAATTTTTCCACATAAGATGTTGTGCTCATGTGTGAATCTTATCGTGCAAGAGGGATTGAAGGAGGTTGATATCTCTATTCTTAAAGTTAGAGAAAGTATAAAATATGTGAAAGGATCACAAGCTAGAAAGCAAAAATTTTTAGAATGTGTGAAACAAAGTTATCTTGATTCAAAGAAAGGATTAAGACAAGATGTGCATACTAGGTGGAATTTGACATTCATTATGCTTGATTCAGCTATTTATTATAAATGTGCCTTTCAACATTTGGAACTACTTTACTCTAACTTCAAAACTTTTCCTAGTAATCCTGAATGGGATAGGTTGGAGAGTATTTGTAAATTTCTAGCTCCGTTTTATGAGATTACTTGTGCATTCTCAGGCACTAAGTATCCTACTTCAAATATGTTCTTCCCTTGTGTATCTACGACTTATGTAGCACTTAAGCATGAACGGGCTTATGGTATTGAGTACATCTGAAATATTGCAACAAGGATGTTAGTAAAGTTTGAGAAGTATTGGTTTGATTTCTGTGATATCTTGGCAATAGCAGTTATCTTGGATCCTATGTACAAGTTCACATTTGTTGAATGGTGTTATAAAAAATTATATGGAGGTGATTACATATCTAAAACAAAGAAGGTTCGGGATAAGCTATTTGCATTATTTTCAAACTATGAGAAGGTGAACGAACAAACCTCCGATGAACTATCCTCGTTACCCACAGTTAGCTCTCAAGTTGATAGCTCAACGACTTTTCCTCCAACAATTATAAAATCACAGTTTCTTCAGGTAGTAGTAATTCTTATTCATCTTTTACAATTACTATTTTGTAACTTTTCATTAACTTATTTTTTTTGGCATTCATAACTAGGATTATAACTCATTTGAAGAGTTAATTACTATTCCTAAGAAGTCACAACTTGAAATGTATCTTGAAGAACAAAAAATTGATAGGAAGGTTAAGTTAGACATATTACATTTTTGGAAAGAAAATCAATATAGGTATCCTGAAGTGGCAGCTATGGCTAGAGATATTTTATGCATTCCCATTTCCATAGTTGCTTCAGAAAGTGCATTTAGTAACAGTGGTAGAATTTTAGATAGGGGTGTCAATTTTTGACCTGACCCGAAAAAATTCGGGTTCGGGTTGACCCGTTTATCAAACGGGTCGGGCTCGGGTTCAATAAACTTACCCGTTTCAAAAAATGGGTCGACAACTTGAAAATGACCTAGAAATCCTTTGCCTGGTCTGCTTCCCGCCCTACCCGAAGCATCAAATGCTCTGCCCGAAGCGTCACACATCCCGTGCGCGTCCCGAAGCGGCGAAGTGGCGACTGGAGAACCTGTCCCGCGCACGTCCCGCAAATGGCGAACCCGAAGCGGCTAACGGCTAACCCGAAGCGAACCCGTCCCATGTGCGTCCTGAACGGCGAACCCGAAGTGGCGAACCCATCCCGCGCGTGTGCATACTGACTCGTGCTGCCGGTGCTCCGCCTGCGAGGATGAGACGCGTGCTGCCACTGCAGTCTGCTACTGTCGCTGCGGCTACGCCGCCGGCAGTATTTCAAAAGTCCGGGTCGAGTCGTGTCAACCCGGCAACCCGAGCGGGTCGGGTCCGGGTTGAAAAAGTTGACCCGTTTACAAAAATGGGTCGGGTTTTGGTTGACCCGTTTAAAGCCGGGTCAATTTGGATTCGACCCGAACCCGACCCGCTGACCCGAATTGACACCCCTAATTTTGGATCAATATAGAAGTGCTTTAAAACCTGACATCGTTGAAGCATTAGTTTGCAGTAAGGATTGGTTATATGGAAATAATGGCAAATGCTCCAACCTTTTACATTAACTTCTTTTCTGACTTCATGTAAAAACTTAAAAGTAATATGTTTTTTGTAGTTATGATTGAACCGAAACTGGAGGGTATAACTGAGGACATCATGAACTTGGGTATTACAAAAATTGACAGCGAAGATGCCAATTGTTCAAATAACAGAGTTGCCTAGTGGTTTTTTATTTCATTTTTTTAAAATAAACTACTGTATGGTCTTTGATAGCTCACTGGTTGGACACTTGCTAGTTGCTACTTGACTTTATTGTTTTTAAGCTGCTGCTGCATGGTTGTAAATATGGGATTTTGCCTTTTTGATGATGTTCAGTAACTGTTCTCCTAAATTTAGCTCTGAAGGGCTGGTATCTCACTGGTTGCCGGGCCGTTGCTGTTACCCTGTTGCAGTTTTGCTGTCTGGCTGTCTGCTTATAAACTAAATTTTATGTTTAATTATTTATTGT